AGCAAAACTTAAAGGTTGATAACATGATTAATATCAGAGTATATTTAAATTACATTTGAATGAACAGCATTTACATAGCCGTTAAACGTTTGACATAACCTTATTCAAGTAAGTCCTGCACTTCAATAAAAAGAGTGGAAATTACTGTTTTGCTTTCCCGCAAAAGCTTGACTTTTTCGTGATTTCTTTACAATTTTAAGCTATTTGAATTGTGGAACAATAATGACTCATGGCGGTCGTGATTAAAAACTTAATGAAAACAATAATCTTCTGGCGATGCTATCGAATACAAAGTTAAAATTAAAAGGAAAAATAGTATCTCCATAGCTTTTTATTTTAATTATCTTGATTCTTCATAGTTTTAACTAAAGGGGCTTAGAACGTGACTAATTTGGCTTATGTGTGAGATTTTCTAAGCGTATGAAGAGTACAGGTTTGGCCAAACTTATTTAAAATTTTAATCATCATTTTATAAATATGTGAACCAAGTTTGCTGTCAGTCTAAAAAAATCTTTAAGTTTCATTAATTTCTTTTAAATTAATGATTGTTGTAGATCTAATATGCAAACGGAGAAAAACATTAAGTTGTGTATCCGCACATGCAGTTGAAATGTCACATCGTTAAACTTTATAAAAACAATTATTTTTGTTATCCAGAACACAGGAAATGCGGGATGATTTTCTTTCTATATTGCCTTTGCAAACATTTTTTTCCCGTTATATTACCCCTGTGGAACTATAATACGAGTATATAGGCCCTATATTCATAATAGAGTAATCAATAAATAAAAAATGATATAATTCGCATGAACTGATCAGAAATAAACCGTTTAATTAAAGTCATGTTTGTTGATTTTCTCTTGGTCTTCGACTGACTCAAACGTTTCTCATGCAAACATAAAATGTTCTTTCAATATCGTTGTCAGGAAACTGCACATATTTGCACAATTTTGATTAGTCTTATGGACACCAAACTAAGAACAAGAGCCGGAAGAAAACCCATTTTATTTACTGAATGTACATGTTTTACATATTTATAACGTTTAGCTCTAAAATAATATTTGATTTTAAATATTCATTAGAATTACATATTTGCAGGGAAATTGTTTTGCCTGACATTTTACACATGATTTTGCTGAAAAAATACACCTACCCCTTTATTCAATGTGGCCATACCACGTGACTTTTCGGGTACGGAGCACGCCGATTTTTCACCCGATTCAGGTATGTTTTTTTTTTAATAATGATACATTGCAAAACAGGTCCCAGGGTCTCGTCTAAATTAATAAAATATATAACTATGGAAAAAAAAATCATTTCACATTACAATTAAAAAATTAAAGTTTCCTATATTTTACTTTAGAATTATTTCAGAGACAGAATTGTGTGTGTACCGTATCTTTTGAAAAATAAGGTTGTTCCGTACCATTGCAACATAACTTTATGAAAATGTGCTAAAACAACACTGCTTTCACTCGATACATTGGAAATAATGAATTTAACAGTTTTAACATGTATTTTTCTATGAAATAGTGACAAAAACATATGACCTGCTAGAATCGCTTGTTGTGACAAATGCGTGTGTACCGTTCCCCTCGGCCCAGGCTTTTTAAGAAAACTGTACTCGAATGTTCTCAAGAATTTTGATATATTGTGGAAAGCTGATAAAATTACGGGTACTCTGCGCCATATCTGATGAAAATCGGTTGCGAAATTAATAAGTTATAAATAAAAAAATACCTGAATCGGATGAAACATCGGCGTGCTCCGTACCCGAAAAGTCACGTGGTATGGCCACATTGTTATTAAAAAATGAGCATTTGTCTGCATGCAAGCTATATAACTAATTATGCTATCTGAGACATTTGCAGTCATTTCATGATGATAAAATACTGAAACGATAAAATGATATCCAAGGTTGTTAGACAAATGAGGCATTGTTATAACTTCGACCTTCATAATGACATTGACTTTGACATCCAGATGCTTTTTAACATTTAATTTTCAAGGTAAGTGTTCTGTCTTATAAATATATATGTTATTTACAGTTTTGTAACATTATCATAAGAATGCATTATTTGTGTAATGATATTGGTCAATTTATCCTTCAGCGGCGGCCATATGGAACACCATTTTGATTGATCAGCCACCACCAACATCAGAAAACAATTATTTGCATAATCATAAACTAAAAGCGGTACTGATAATTTTGATATACGACAACCTTTGTTATATTTTGTGAACAGCTGTATTTCATTTTAGCCTACTACTTACAGGTGAAATTTGATTTATGAAATTCAATGAATAACAAAATTGCCTTATATGAGCGAAACGGTTACAATTTTACTCTTACGACGGTAAATATCACCAATGGTCTTCTCAATCTTTCAATTTGGACAAAACGGAAATTATGCGGAAAATTTCAAAATATGCACTGACTGTTAAGCGAACAATGCAAACCATGATCAGACAGAATTGATGTGCCGGCTGATAGTAGTCTTCACAAATCGCACGTGTAAAAACAATTGCCACCAGCAGGCTAAGAGTTAAAAGCTCTTTTATTTTTGTTCCAAAATTTAATGAAAGGATTTACATACGGCATTTTTCTTTATAATTAGCGCCTTCTTTCTAAAGTTTTAAGTGGGTCAGTCTTTTCTTGTAGGATAAGAGTTTCAGTCATATACTGAGGTTAAACGATAGTTAAATCTATTATTATTTAATATGTAATTGTATGGCATGTAGTGTGGTAGACGATGTTATAATTATAGAAAAATAGTTATCAATAAAAGAATTGTTAAAACATATTTAGATTATAGCCTGCTATCAATATTGGAAAAACAGATAAAAAAGAGTCATTATTTCATTGTCACCGTTGTGAGATGTTTTGAATAATATGAATAATATATATCTTCAATAATAATGATGTCTTTATATGTACATCTAGCATATAGGGCTATACAATCTAATAAACTAAATGCCAGAAAGAATGAAGAGTAAAAAAACTAAAGTCCGCTTTGACTTAAGTGTATTTCCTGACTTAAGTTTATAAAGAATAGTGTTATCTTCAGTTTCCCCACAACTTGTAGTTAAAATGGATATAGTAATTCTATTTATAACTCGATCTATCCATGATTTTACTTGAGACGTTTTGTGATGGAAAAATTGGTATATATTATTTTTTTAAATTTTTTGTTTGTTTGATCTTTGTATTTAAATTACGAAGAAAACGATGTTTCAAAATCAAGATGTAAGTGCGACTTATTACGATTTGTTACATATATATAATTACCACAGGCATTTCTATCAGAATATACCTTTAAATGAAACCTTTAGATTATAACATAGTAGTTTACATGAACTGAAGTTTGAATCATGAAGTATCCAAAGCAAGAATCGATGACTTCTAATCCAGTTACCTCTCTGGCGTGGGTTTGATCCCCGGGAGATGCTTTGGAATTTTAGCGCGGAGGAAGGTAGTCTAGTACTGGTGTAACTCTCCATGAACGATGGTTAGGAAACTACCCGCCTATATAACTGAACTACTGTTTGGCAAAGGCGTAAAATGAAACAAACAAATAAACATATAATTGTACTTTTTTCTAATCGTCAAGTGGTTTTCTTAAATTGTAAGGCATTTTAAACAACTATAGTATTTACAAACGAAAATGAACTTCAAAAAATAGGTTCAATTGCATTTTACTTTGAAACGAAAATGGTATATATGTTAAATAACTACAGTTGACTCTCGATAACTCGAAATCCAAGGGACTGGGCATTTTACTTCGAGAGAAACGGAATTCGAGTAACGTGGATCTGCCGCCATTACGTTGGCATTCGTACATGTATATACATGTACCTGATTGAATATGCAAAGAAGTAGGGTTGTTATTGTTGATAGCGGCAATGCTGCAATATTTAACCGTTGAAATGACTGTAAATCACTTACAAATACAAATTATAAATGAACAAAAATATATTATTCAAAATTTAATACATGTATATTAATAGTGACATATAAACACAAGCATTCGTAGCAATGACGTAGTAAATTGATCATCGGACGAAAACGAAAGTAGCAACTATCGTGAACCGGAAGTACATATTAATGTATGCAATATGACGGAAAATTAATTATAAAAATGTCATTTACGTTGAAAACACACATCAATACATAGGCTGGCACAATTAAATTAATCAAATCTTAATTTACTTATCTAACTGTTAAAACCAATTAAGTCCTGAAACCGATTAAAGCCACTTTCACGACGTGCTTATAATACATGATGACCGGCAATTAAAATTACTATGAAACGTGTGAATCACGAGTGACAACATCTCAACTTGATGTCGCCGACCTTTGATCAGTCGGCTGTTTTCGCACTTCGACTAATTGAGATGAAAATATGTTGGACTTTATTTGACGGGACCACATTTTCTATTCGACTCAGCAGGAGTCTCGCTAAGTCAAAATTTGACCTAAGCGGAGTTAAAACACAAAGATAAAGAAGGAAATTTGACGGGACTTTAGAAATTCTTCGACTAACGCGGAATTTTGAGTAAAGCGATTTTGACTTATTGAGAGTCAACTGTATATATAAACAAATGGATACATGTAGATACATGATTAATTGCACACGTAGAATAATAATGTAAAACATTTAAAGAACAGATTCGATTTTCATTTTTTAAATATCTTATCTCTTGAATAGTGTAATATAAAATGTTTCCATTCATAAACATATATACAAGGAAATTACAAGCAACTGTTTTAAGAAACAATTTTTTGAAATAATTTGTACATGTACTAAAACATGTTATGTTTCAATTTTCACATTTACTACAGTGAGTACAGCCCCATTTTAAAAGCTATATTCTCGATGTTTTGTTTTTGAAGAATTACCCGTTTTTACCCCCTTTTGTACACGGCATATTAACATGATATCTATTCTGTTTTATATAAATACCGTCTGGAATATTCAACTTGCAATAATTAAGAAAGAACACTTACACGTTGGTCTTGTCACTATGACAATTAAGAAAATGCATGTAGCACATATTGTCTTTCCGTTCAAAAGATGATTCATTGTAGCAAAACAAATTTCGGTAATATGTAACATAGGTCTATCTGTTTTATAATGTACTGGCCTTTTATGTCTTTTATATAGACACAAGTTGTTGAATTGTTGTTTATGTTTTAATTTTGATCACGACTTAAAATCAAGGAATCGTGTCCTTATTAAGAGAGCCATCTTAAAAGCTCGGTTGTTAAATGATGTTAAATAAGTGGCCTCTTGTAATTATTTAGTATCACAAATTAGTAAACATTTCAGATGGACATGGTTTAAAGATGTTAATCGTGAAAGTTTTTTAACATTAATCACGTGTAAAAATTATTATTTTTGCTTCCTTCCTCAAGACAATGTCATGTTATTTTACAGTGTATAATGGAACAGTAAGTAGTGAAGAGAGTATTGATTGTGTACTACAAAGAATGGTTTATTTATAAATGATGACATGCATATACACTAGGAAAGCTTGAATGAATGGTGAAAAGCTTTGGTATAACGGTTTAATTTCCCCTTAAAATATTCGCCTTGTTTATGATAACTGCAATTAATCACTGCGTTAACCGACCAAGCAGCTGTTATGCGTATGCCTACCAAATCCCACTCATTCGTTTCCCATTATGCATGCATTATATTCCAGTGTAAAATAAATGCATTGAAAGCAATTTACATATCGAATTATCAAAGCGCGTTATAAATTACAAGTTTATTTTTAGATAAAGCTTTGAGCTTTGAATATTGTCTATTTTCCTTACGTTTTATGCACTACGTACTTAGTCTACTTTTTTAGTAAGCAGCTGTAAAGTTACTTTCATTTAGGTAAGTAAACATATCATCAAAAGATAAATGATAGAAAGACTTATCAATAATTATAAAAGAGATAATTTACAAATCAGGCATCGTTCTCCATGTTGTATGTTTGTCTATAATACTATTTTCTATCTTTTTTAGCAAAAAGTTTTTTTATCGTGTACAATGTCTCGCCAAAACGGTTGACCCAGAGGTTTTGATTTAACAGAAGGTGTGGCCATTTTTATTGTTATTTTCATTTGCTTTACAGAGAAGGCCATAACCTCACATTATTTTGTAACGGAATTGGCTCTTTTCTGTCTTTTGATCCTCTAACAATTTTATGGCCCCATATATAGTTAATGTCGCTTTAGTTGTCGTCTCCACAGCTGTCTTCTATCGCTGCTGCGCCGGTCTTACTGAAATCTATCGATACATATTCTGTCTGTTCATGCATAGTTGCAAGTGGCCTTTTAGCTGCCAGGTCTGGATATTCGGCTAGATCTAGGTCAGCATACACCAGATTGTCTCCCCTCTCGTTCTGTAAATACAGACATTGACTTTTAATAAGGTTTTGTTCTTCTTAATTTTAAAGTTTTAAAGCAAGTATCATATGTGCATATCGAGAAGCAAGCAGACACTTTTGCTGGATTTGATATTATGTGTGTAAAGAACTTTGTTTCCATAATTATGTCATGCTTTCTGTTAAAAATTTATTACATTTAAAAAAGCAGTTCAGCATTCAAAATCAATAACACTGTTTATTTTTTCTTAAAATTAAAGAAATAATCTAAAAAAGCATTAAATTTCTGGAATAATTTTAAATAATCATAAGAAAGAAAAAGCACAACAACTTTTATTTATACTTAATCATCAGTAAGAAATTATATCAGAGCATTTTTTTCAAATATTACATTTTTGTTTTCTGCATCATTTGCCTCCTTGTTAGCACGATATGTCCCCCTGTCTTTCTTTGGAATGACGCATGCGTATTCTGGCTGTTCTGCTGCATCAGCGTTTCTAGAAGATGCTGCCATATTGTTATGTGCGAGTTCTGAACAGTTAAAAGACAAAATTGAATAATTGGTCTTTGACGACAGATCTTCCGACAAGACAGTTCCAATGCATGCATTTCAACAAACATTGAAATTGCTGCTAGTATCTATTAATTTTATTTAGCAGTTCTTCAATCACAGACCTGATACATGGTTGTTTAACAATATGTTTTGAAAGAGAAAACTTTAAGTATTTCAATTGTCTTAAACTTTAAAATCAATCATCCTCATAAAGTCATTATTGATATTGGACACAAAACATGTTAACAATAAACAGATAGATATTATATTAAGTGTTAAATCAAAATATAGTTGTATAACGACTTCTTATCACGAAGTACAACTTAATAATGTTATCTGCTGGGTGCCAATGCAATACATCGATACAATGAAATGACAAATGGACGGTGGTACTGCTGCATCAACACGCTCTATTTCAGATCTAAACAGACCTTGCCAGCGTTTCACTAACGTTCCGTAAGTTTGGCGGATCTTTTTATGTAAATTTGAACTTACGAAAATTGTAAGTTTACTTTTGTAAAAACCAAACTAGTTAAAATATTGCTATTATTTCTTCATTATTTGATGAAAAATAATGAAATAGACTTTCAGTTAAAAAATCTATTGAAAATATTTTATTTTAATGATGTTATTAACAAAAATGTAATTATTGAGTTACTTCCCTTTGTTCTAAACAACCCGTTATGTGTTTAGTATTACCGAAATCAGCTGTGAAGTTTAAATTATGAATATAGTAGATAATAGATTAGATAACTCTAGTAGAGCTCTATTTTATAGACATATTTCTGTTTTTAAGTTTCAACCATATCTAAATATTATCAATGTTGAACGGTTTTGTAAAGATCTCGCTAGGTTAAGAGTATCATCTCATAGATTGCACATAGAATCAGGTAGATGAACTTAACCAAATACCGCCATATTAGCATGTTATATATCTGCACGTGATTGTCGTGCATAACAATTTTCTAATCAAATCGTATTTTTAAAAAGCTATGATCGGACAATGATGGAAAAATAAAATACTCTGTAATATGAGTTAAAGATATTTATAAATTTTGTACATGTTTATATTTTATGAAGATACAATATTCAACTTCAACCGGAAGTTTATGATTTTCTATTATAAATTTGAATACAGATATATAATTCGACTGCTCTAAAAATGTTCCCAAAAAATTGTATAATGTATCAGGCAGTAAACTTGGAAATTGGAAAGTTTGTGTCTTTCTTTTATTGAACAGTTAAACTATGTATTAACAAATCGCATACTTTAATCAAATCATAATCATTGGATTTAAATTAAATACTGTGATAATTTCCAATCAACTATTTCTGAAATTCATGCAAATTATTTAGGGGTTGTTCTCATCTTTGAAATGAAATCTGATTTGATTTCGGTAATGCAACACATTAATAACAAGGGAAGTAATCATGATATAATAAACATATCCGTCTACAACATCATCATTTTTATAATTAGATATTATTTTCCTTTATTTATGGTTCAGTTTGAATGACTTTATATTAATTAATTAAACAAGATCTATTAAAATGTTTATTTTAACTTTTCAAGCCGATTTCGGTATGGTAACATATACATATATTTCGGTTCGTGACAAATCAGGGAAGTAATCTTGATATTTAGATATTTGTTTCTAATTTCATTATAAATAATTATTTCGAATTGATTTTTTTTGCATGAAAGTCAAACTAAACCTATTGTAATAGATTATAATGAAAAAATATAATAGAACGCTTAATTATGATTTTACAAGTCGATTTCGGTATTGTAACATATATTTCGGTTCGTGACAAATCAGGGAATAATCTTGATATTTAGTAATATGTTCCTAATTTCATTATTAATAATTATTTCGAACTGATTTTTTGCATGAAAGTCAAACTTAACACATTGTTATATATTATAATGAAAAAAAGATAATAAAACGCTTAATTGTGATTTTATAAGTTGATTTCGGTAATGAAAAGTTGATTTCGGTAACTTTACCGAAATCAAGTTGATTTCGGTATCGTAACGTACCGATAAGCGGCCGCATAATTTACATAAGCGGCCCAGATGTGAAAGGTCACACGCGACTAGTTTTGTTTATCAAATTGTGTGACACTACTTTCTATTTATTCCTTACATTTTTATTAAGTTTCTACTAAAAATATATACATATAATGATAATATATAAATGTTACTCCATCTTTACATCAAAACATATACACGACAATACGTATTGCAATATATTGCAATACGCTTCAGCAAAATGGCAATATATTGCAATTTGGTTTTTGCTGTATTGTTACACCCCTATATTCTAATAATTCGGAATAAATCTTGGATGAAATAATTATGCTTTTTTTTGCTTTTTATAATAGATAAAAAATGTCATTTTCTTAAGAGAGTTTTCATTAGATAAGAAGAACCTCACATAAGTATCAATGTCTACGTTCTTTATGTTTTAAGTACTATGTATAGAGAATGGCCTATTTATAATCTATCAACCGTTTAATATATATGTAAAAGGTCTATTATGAATGATATACTTAACTTCTATACACTTTTAAACAGTTTACAGGTTAACACTAGGTAAAAGGGTAAACAGTTGATAAACCTTTCCAAACGAATTGAAAATGTCATGTTGAAATCACTGACCATGTAATCTGTTTTTATCCTTAAACCATTTTATTACAAGCTTTCATACTTTCACATTTTGTTATTTTCATTTGTACATAGGACTTTTTTACAACATTAAATTATTACAAAAATTATGGTGACTTTCTCAATAAAACCGGTACAGCTGAATGTGCTACAATATATATTCCCCCTGCACCGCAATATACCGGTGTACCGGTAAACCGTTAAGCCCTAAAATGCCATATTTTGCCATAACATTTATGTAACTATATAACACTTGCATACAACAGATATTACTCGTGTAAGCAATATTCGTAATATTTTGACAATCCTGACGCCCTGGAACAAAGTACGTTCCGGTATAAAGCACCTTGATTGTAGAACATTTGTCACTTTATTTTGTTGTGTTGCAAATTTATCCCAACATGCTTTAAAAGAGTGATATTTGCAGTTTTGCATCCTCCAACCTCTTAGAAAATATTTAAAGGAGGACAATTTGCTATGTACATGATTGTTATATTTATTTTATTGCAGTGTTTTCTTTTACCACTACTGTTTTCTTTATAAATAAATAGTAATGTTCCGCCAAGTTGATTAAACATTATAACTTATTGATATCAGTTGGTATCAGTGATCTTAAACACATGTGTATTTTCCGCACTATTCCTTGTTGATACTATGCAGTTATGTGCATTATTACATGATATATTCATATCATTAGAAAAGAATGCTAACACGTCATATATGACACCAATTAATCAACTGACGTCATGGAAATTATTTCTACACTCAGTGTAGTGCATAATGATTTTATCGATTCTCCTTTTCTAAGAGTATGTAAAAATAGAAGTAGTTATTAATTTTCTTGCACGATAGAATACTTATGCACGGTTTGTGGTTCAAATGTTTTGAACACGAACCGAGCATAATTATACCAGAATACACTCATAATTGATACCTATTGTTCATGGCATAGTTTTTTTCTATACACGAGGGGCATATTTTAATAAGTGGCAACAGCAGCGCGTTTTTATAATTAAGTCAAACAAATTATAAGAAGAGTCCTTCAAAATATACACCAAGCCTCAGGATCCATTCCAAAAAGCATTTCTGAGCTGAACTTTGGGTATATGGTTTATACACTGTTAGAGAGCGTATCCAGAGCACTACGGGTTTCGAACTGGCGACTGCGAAGGAAGGTTATGAAGTATGGATTTAACCTAAAGTCACAAGGACTATAAACGGGTTGTACCTAAACAAGATTATCTGCTCCTCCTTATAAGCTTGAACCAAAGCTGAAATACGCGTAGGTGCATTATCATGGAGTAATTTGATCATGCGCATCACAGACCTTGTGTTCTTTGTAACGTAGTGATTAACTACAGCCGTGAGAACATGGTCACGGTAAATGTTCCAGTGACACTATCCTTCTCAGACACAGTGACAAGGGCTGCATCATTCAATTACTTCACATAAATAGAGCGTAGATATTTCTTTTAACACTCCTGCTATGTCGAGCAACACTCGTGTCATCCACGTCATATCTTGGATCTTCATCTTCATCTGGGAATTGTACGATATAGAAGGGCATTTTCTCCATAAACTAAATCAAGATTTCTGACGCGCATTTACCATTTACCCAAAACCCCACTAACTTTGCAATAAGCTCTTTGCGCTCCTCTCTCAAATCACAACGGAACTCAGCCATGTTTACAACAAGTTAACAAAACCACACATATTTAAATGACCTGCTAATATTTTATTGCACTTGTTAATCGTGCGAAAATAGACTGTTGGTTAGAAAAATCAACAATCTTTCCAACTGTATATAACTTGTATTTCAAATGCAAATCATGATTTAATTAAGTTATTACCAATAATTAAAACATGTCCCTATTGCATGTATCATAATATTCACATGGAGGAAAATTCTAAGTTTCCACTATATAAGGGTCAGACAATTTTAGCTCACATAATTCACTCTTTTTTCATAAGGCATAGTGATAAGTAATTGAAGAAACGCATTGGACCATTTTTTATTGTAACATAAAAAAGTAGTTAAGCATTTTGTTTTAAACATACAGATTACTTATGAATTAATAAATTATGACACTATTTAAGGACAGTTTAATTTTTTATTGTACATTTATTGTACATATATTCAATATTGAATTAATTCATATCATGTTACAAATGTATATGACAGTGAATATTTAACCACTTTATTAACCTTTTACCTACTTGAATCTAGTCATAACCATTTGCCTCCAACACAGAACCTGGCGCCAGTTATCACATATCTTAAGTCTGAACAGGCTCTTTACATTTGGCAGACTGTCTTTATAGTTAAAATTTATATTTTATACCCACAAATAGCGAAGTGAAAGTACTGAAAGTTGAGGTTTGACGTTCATTACAAAAATCCAGCAGGTAAAGAGTTAACAAGGATACTTACTTTATTATAATATATGATCATGTACCAGCACAGCTTTTGCAAGTCAGCAAAATTGATACTACACGGCTGTGTATAACATTCAGTATCAGATGCTATGATTTATGGTCATTTGCAAACAAGTAAATATTTCAAAACGTGACAGGATAAGTGCATGTGTATGGAAATAAAGAAATTATTGTTATTTTACGAACAATATTGTTTTCTACAAATTACACTACTTACACTAGGTAGGTACTGGTATGTTCGGAATCGTCCTGGTGCCAATTTAACATGTTCTATAAAAATGATAACTCCTAGACGTAGGAGATAAAAAGCCTAATTATGAGTTTATAACTCCTACGTAGGACCTTGTTACTCTTACGTTGGACTTAAAGACTCCTACTAAGGACTTTTAACTCCTTTGTAGGACTTTATAATTGATGTAAAGTAAATCTAAATTAATTTGTAATGTTGTCAACTTAGAAAAAAAAAGTGGAAAATCAAGCTAGATTTGTCGCTAGATTGCATGTTTTATTATGCTTTTGTACAATTATTGGCATACAATACCTTTGTTCAATGCAGCACAGGAAAAGTTCTATTTGAAAATGAGCTTATTATCTTCTATCAGACAGTACAAATCTAAACTTGCTTTCCGCGAGAAGCGATAACGTTAGACGACATTTCTGTCCCTCAAATTATTTAGCAAGGTTCATGAAAGATTCGTGGCAGGGGTCTGCGTCTGTCATCGCGAACAACAATCGCAGCCATATTTACGTAATGCACGTGCAATTTACGCCAGAAATAACTGAGCGTAACTTGAACGTTAAAACATACGCAGATGCGTAGTTAAAAAGTTCAGTGAAGCGCAACTAAATACGTAAGTTCTTCATAGCAAAAACAAACGATTAACCTTGATTTATGATAACGCAAGTATGTTAGTGAAACGCCCCCACCTCCTCCGCTGATATTGTCAAAATGACAATACATATGGCCCTACCAACACTATCCGAAATACATAGGGCCTGCATTTGGCTTAACAAAGCGGACATACGATGTTATGTTTACATCATGCACGGTAAGTGTCCATTAAATTTTCAAAATCTTCATATGAAATACAGACAAATGCATGCGCGCTTACCGTTTCCAGTTGGATGCAAACTTCTGAAAGTAGAACATTATTGGAAAAGATTCATTATAATTACATAAACGAAAATTAATTCAACAAAATACATACAACATGTAAATATCCCGTTTAGAAAGTATGTATCTATACGGTTTATAAATTTATTTTTAAGTTCGTTCCATAGTTAACATATGTAACATGTTGTCTTTCTTACTGATAAAACGAAATTTAATTGGCTTCCCACTTTAAATGTATGCTTAGTCAATGTTTTATATGTTTCTACTATATACGTAAGCGTGCAATTTCACACGATACACGGTAACGTGATGATACAATAAGCTGGGATGTACATGTCCATCATCCTTAGGAAACCCACGGATAAAGCCCTTGAACACTTCATTGTATCATAGTTTGGAGACCTTTCTGTTGAAAATGTGTCAGGGTTAAATCGTATACATATACATGCACAGTGCGGTAACTGGAGTGCGGGTATTAGTTACCCGCACTCCACAGCATGCCCATTGATTGGATCATTTTTGCTGGGGTTTACATATTGTGACGGCAGAGAAAGGGAAAGCGACAGAAATGTCACATTCAGATATTCGTTCATTGGTTCATTTTTGCCGGGGTTTTATATTGTGACAACAGGGAACGTGCTTTTATGTTTGACTATGATACAAAAGAGAAAGAACACCAAAACACTCGGCAATCTAATTAATACTCGGGGGCTACGCCCCCTCGTACAAATCAGATAGCCTCGTGTTTCGGTGCTCTTTCTATTACTTATAATATATAGCATAGTTTTCCGAGGACGATGTCAGTAAAATTCATAACTCTTAATGTAGAGCATTTAAAGGCCCAAGTTTAAACGACTCCGTAAAACAAAGGAAGAAATAAGTGATCGATAATATTCTTTTTTTAAGTTTTGTACATTATTCGTTTCTATGTGCATTCGATTTCACGTGATAGAACCCACTTGTATAGTTTTTGACACTTTTTGTTCTGGGAATTCTTAAATACCAAACAAAATATTAGAAGAATGAGTGGCATTACCAGACAAAAGCGTGAAGTATTCAGTTAAAACTAAAGTATGAAATGAAAAGCACGTATTCAATATCATAGGTATATGTTATACATACGCGTTATTTTCTTCAATGTTAATTTCACGAATGTTCCCGCCGTCAGATTGTGCATTCTGTCGTCTCTTACGTAAAATAAAAGCAACATAAATTGCTATAAGGATAACAAAGGTACAGCCAATTATTGGCCCCAAGACGGATGCAAAGTTTGATTCAGTAAATGTTTTAACCTCTGGTCTTTCAAATGGATCTAAAGTAGAAAAAGAAAGCAAAAAAAACAAAAACAAAAAAACAACAACAACAAAAAACAAATGTTATTATTAAACAAAATTGTGATTTTCATAATTGTTCGTTATTTGTAATATACCTGTATATTTTATTGCGTTTATTGTTAAACTTAACATCTCCAGGTGATGAAAGTTATTTTCAAAATATAACTTATTGGTAAAAGTATTTGCTATGTCTGCTTTAACTTTATTTCTGTAATTGTATTGCTTGAACTTTTATATACACGACTACATCAAAGTTTGCAGTGAACAAATAATACCTTTCACAATAACTGTTATATCTCTTGATACTGTTCCACCAATTCCATTATTGGCTTTGCAACTATATGTCTGGGAATGGTCGGATGAAACGTTTGTAAAATGAAGGTCGATAGCATCTGCTTCAAATACCTCTATAGAAATAATTTACCTATATATAAGCTATCAATCAATGTACATTTGTATCATGAATGCTTTATCACACATAATACAAACGGAGAAAGTGAGAGAGCTTCGTAATCTAATGGCTAAGATCACTGACTTCAACACTTTCACCTCAATGCCTTTGATTTGAAGTCCATTATGGACATTCGATTCTGAAATGTGAGGAAGCTATTAAACTTCCTTGTAGTTTGTCGATTAGTGCCTACAGGTTGACACCTTCAGTCCTATTAATAAAGCTGATCAATGCGAATTAGCATTGGCAGTATCGGCACGGCTTGGAACAAACAAATAGAAAACAAATAAAAGGAATACAAATGTACCAACATATGAATACGCTCGTAAACAGTTTTCTAGCAAGATAAGAGGCCAGAAGTAATCTAAGATCAAGAAAGACTTCAAAATGACCCTCAATACAATGATTGGTAAGTGATAGCTGAATGATGTAAACAAAATCGATCAAAATATATTTTGAAATCAGTCACTTCATTCAGATTATATCTTCGCACACGATAACTGGCCCTGCTTTCAAAAATAGTAAAGAGATATATTGAGTGACATTTTATTTCAAGACAATTAAATACTATGCTAGATCACCTTTAATTATGCCTGCATGATTGTGCCACGACAGCGTTGATTTGGGATTACTGTCGACGCTACAGACCAAATCAATATCATCACCAACGTAAACAGTTTTCTGTTCTCTCTCTGATATAGTAACAATGGGATAATCTGAAATAATGAAATACTGTAAAGGGTATTACAGAATAAAAACTACAAGTATCATATGGAATACTCATTTGTCAAAATATGACATCAAATTAGTTTCAAAGGAATTATGTCATACTGAATTGACGCAAACAATTTCAAAATAAAAATCAATGTAAGCGATTGGAATGCCAGAGAGGGCAAATCTTAATTATAAAAAGAAATACGCATATGTTAAAACAGAATAGCTTATCCTAAGATAAAATAAATGTTTTAAAATGATGAACAAAAACACACATGTTATATTCAATTTGTATATATAACTTAATTCAAGATCGGGGAATCCGTCATTTTGCACTTCACATGTTAGCTCCTTCTTATTATAATGTCTAGTGAAATTGAAGGTCCAAATCTGGAAATAAAGGAAAAAATATATTGTACTATAAGCATTATCCTCCAATATTGTTCGTTTTGTATTCACTTAGTTCTCTAATAGACCACAAATACTTTCAACGCGATTAATAGTATTAAGAATGGCTTCTACCGATAACATTGGGAAAAACACGTGAAGACTTCATGAATGACCTTAAGTCATCATGTATCGCTTATCATGTATCTATTGCTCTAATGTTACATATGAGATAACAGTACATTTTTATCTAGATTACTAGTATAAGTTAAGGCCCTGTCACACTAGACTGCGCTTTTACTGCGTTTGCACGGCGTTGTTAAATTAAACAAAGCGACGCAAGATCGCAAGAAAAATCTGATATTTTTTATGACATTGAGACTTCACGGCGTCTTCACGGCGATCATGGCGTTGCTACGGAGCTCCACGGCGCTAAAACGCGTTCCAATGGCGTTTTGGTTGGCGATTGTCTGCGTTCGGACTGCGCTTCTACTGCGTTCTTTGCGCTTCCACTGCGCTTTCACGGAGCTTACACGGAGCTCTCGCGGCGTTCACACTGCGTATATATCGTGTTTCATATAACAGATATAACTGATTCTGAAAAGTCGTGTACCTGCTGCAACTGCATGCAAGCTAGCAATATTCCAGCTTGTCGTTCATCAACCATTGTTAAAAGGACATTTACTTGCAAACACGTTTTATACATATACAGTGGAAACCCACTGTTAGGACTTCCAAAAGGACTAGACTAAAGTCACAGTGATCTTAATTGCGGATGGTCTTAATTAATTATGGCTATTATTATCAAGGCATATATATTTCAAGACCACTCTATTTGATTTTTTTATGTGTAAACATGTTTTTAAATTATTATATTATAACCTTCAAAATAAATTTGCAGAAAATAACATTAAACCACTCTGAAGTTTATTTTCTCACCTTTACACAATTTTCTAATCATAACAGTTGCAAGACCTGTTTCATCAAGTGTCATGCTTTAGAGAATTCAAGCTGATGAATAACAATAAGCTTGTGATCTGAATAGGTATTGACTAGAATATCAGTGGTCTCAATAGTGGGGTTAGATAAAAAAAACCAATGAATGGAACTGAAACTGAAGGTCTTAAAAGTGGATAAGATGTGTGGTCTTAACTGTGGACCATGCTACCATTAACATAAATAACAGGAAATCTCGTTCTTTTGAAAATTGGTCTTAATAAAGGGGTGATCTTAATTCCGGAGTGGTCTTAAGTAGGGATTCTACTGTACTGTATTCTGCAATATCAGATGAACGCCGTAGAATCGCCTTGAAAGCGCAGTGGTCGCCGTGACAGTGCCGTATAGTCGTTGTAAGAGCTTTTGAGAAAAAATACAGCGTCGTATAAGCGCCGTACACACGCAGTATAGGCGCAATAGAGAACGCCGCAATATCTCCGTACAAGTGCCATGGCTAACAAAGGCGTTCATTCGGCGATCGTTCTGCGCTTTCACGGCGCTCCTGTTGCGTTGTAGGAGATGCTATTGAGTTGCTACGGCGTCCTTACTGCGATCCCACTGCGCTATTATCAGAACACCGAGTGACGGCGTTTGTTTTGAGCATGCTCAAAATGCGCGCCGTCGGTCGGCGTTCTATGCGATGCCACTGCGATGCTGTGGCGATGCTACGGCGATGTTTGCGATCTTACTGCGCTCACCTCGGCGTTCTGAAATTTCTTTGGACGCCGATAAAACGCCGTCCTAGTGTGACAGGGGTTTTAGAATATAAATGTGTCATAAAAGATGAAATCTTTAACACATCCTTTATTATTATTATTATTATTATTATTATTATTATTATTGTTCTCTTGCATAAATGTACCCGTATCTAATTATCTTATACGATAGAAAGACCGCATTTAATTGTTTGCAATGTATGGTGACTTTTAAAATGTCTCTATCTTATATATATCATGCGCAAAAATATGAGATAAATATTTGTATTAATTAACGTGACATAATTATGTTAGTATTTACAAGTATAAGCAACGTAAAGTCATCATCAACAAAAAAAGAAACAGTGAAAACACTTAATCAAGATCCAATGTCAATAAAAGGAGATTATTGAAAGTATATTGTTTTAAGTAGTTTTTAGCACTGTCACAATTTTCCAACGTTTTCCAGAGTACAGTTATATTATCATACCAAAACCCTCGTACACATAAATATTTGGCCAACACTTGTCAATATATATCTTTGCACAAAAGTACCATCGTACACACAAATATTTAGCCATTATTGGTCAATATATATCTTTGCACAAAAGTATATTAGCTATGCAACTCAATTGTATGTATCTACATAAGTTGTAATTTGAAATACATAAAGCAACAAACATTCACGATATGGCATGGACTTTTCCACCAACACAAAATCAATAAATGTCACTTTGCATCCATTATTATTTTCACTATTTAACCTGAACTTGATTTCGCGAAAATATGTGTAGGTCAGAGCTCCATATGATCCACACAAAATTTGCAATTTCAATGGAAAATGAATATAGCATTTTTATTGAATATACTCACTCATCGTGCGTTTCGGTTTCTAAAATCCGCCAGTAATCCGTATCGTATCATTTCATTTCGATTTAAAGATACCCAACCTCTATACGTTCGACTCCCTGATTAAAGAAGATGTGGTTTTCACGCAAACCTTTCTTTAATCAATCCAAAAAACGATACGTAAGAAATACAGAGAAGCTAATGAAAACAATTTACATTTGTGAAAGAAACAAAACGGTCAAAACCAGTAGTTATCTGAAATAGTTAAGCACATCACTAACCGCTGTAAATCTCAGTCCGTTCGTTTTATTTTCCGGCTCATATTTTTCACTGATCAACTTCGGCTGAACATGTTTAAGTCCATTTATGTCAATGTAACTTCTTGGATTTGACTCCGCGACTGCGAACTTTAATGTTATCATGGTATCGCCATTTTCTTCGTTTTGATTTGAAATTTCTTGAACAGTCACATTTTTTGGTGGAACTATTTAATATGAAAATAAAAGTAACAAAAAATAAATACGATCATGATATTACATGATATAATCTTATCAATCTTTTAAACAGAACTTACATAATGTCTATGAAATTTACATTTAAAGCTTTACAACAAGCAACTACAACGTTCGTGTGTTCAAAATACAGTATTTTCTTTTTCAAATATAACTTGATAATGTATGTAATAAAATTATCATCCTTAAACTCGTATTTTATACAATTGTACAATTTCATATCAGTATAAGCTAAGTACGTTAACTATTTATTATCATCTCTATAATTTTTTTTTAATTTTATAAGCATATACTAATTGTTCCGCAAATCTGATGCAAAGAATAAATAAACTATGTTTCCATTGTCTATCATATTCAATCTTCTGCATGCCATTAGTAATAGTTATAGAATATATACGAGGACTTTACAGGCTGGTATCAGCGCATGGGGCGACAACAAGGGTCAATCATAGGAAATTAATCGAGACGGAACGTCGGGATTAATTTCCTATGATTGACCCTTTGTGACCATCACGACTTCTTTCTTCTCTCGTAATATTTACTTTATTTAAACATGTAAATATTTTAAGAAATACCCACAGAAATACACCCATTAGATGCCGTTGAAGGAACTGGACATAAATAACCATTTCACGAGGTAAGTTGTAATGCATTTTTTCTAAATGCGAGATAATAATCATCTTTCCAGCTCATTTTCAAAATATAATCTAGGACATATTGTCGGTAAGTATCCCGGTGTATATTTCAGAGGTATATCTTGTACGCGTATTTTTTAAATCTAACGACAATGTAGTGATTTTATCTACTTCCATCTATTAATAATTACGCTAGAATATTATGTTCATATACGTGTAGTGATTTACTGAATGGCTTACTGGTCAGAATCTCATGTAAAACGAAGGCATTGTTTAAAGTAAAAAAAGAATAATAATTTGATCATTGTTTCAGATTTGTCCTCGGGGTCAGGATGCAGAAAATGGCGATTACTTTCCATTGGAGTCAACATCTTTATAATGACTGCATTTTCAGGTTTTGAAAAAAAAAAGGATCGAGATGATATATAAATATTTAAAAAAAAGTTCTTTAAGCTGTGTAATGTTTTGTTTTGCTCTTTTTCAGGTATGCTCACTTTATTATTTGAAATAAAATAATAAACTGGGCATGCGCGAGAAAGTGTACTGATACCTCATTTAGAGCACCCCAAAGCGTACTGATACCTCATTTAGAGCACCCCAAAGTTTTCCAATACTGAAATTTAGAGAACGCCTATCTTCAAAGGAAAGTTGTGGCGGTCATGCGATAACTGTTTGTATTATTTTTGTAGTTTAGGGAATATCAAACTGTTGATTTATGTTAATTAATCATTTTACAAAAAGCATGAAAAACGCTACATATGATGTGAAACAAATATATACGCGTAGCACTTTTTTTTAAAAGAAAGATAACATTAAAAGTAAAAAAAATATAAAAAAACACTATGAATAAATGAATCTTACATAGTACATTTATGTTTGTCTCGTTGCATATTGCGTCACCAACAGTGCTACAACACTTTATCTTCACCTGGTTTTGATATCTTGAAAATGCCTTAGTTGCCGATGTGGTTACAGTATGCAAATCACCAGCCACTGTTTCAGAATTCATTGATGTATCATCTTCTTTTAAACTACCTATATACAGGTCTGACTTTAAAGATGGTCTACCATTCATTGAAACGCATTGGATTTCGCTTTGTTTTCCCTCTTTTACCTCATTGAGAATAAAGTCTATCTTGTTTGGGGTCACTAAACATGAATATAAAGGGTGAGCTTTAAGGATCGTTGAATCTCCGTCGTCTTCTGTTACCCGTCGTCTGTCATTTGTCCACATTTAGTTCGTTTACACTCTAGTAGACGTCACATTTTTGCCTCATTTGTAAAAGAATCTTATGCTCGGACGAGTCCAAAAACAACAGTTACTTTTATGATTTCTAACTCAAGTTCGAATGTAGGTCAAGTACTTGAAAATATTGCAGGCTAGGTTTAATTAAGCCTGTTTATGTAAAACCTTTTGATAACGCTCTGGGGCAATATTTTTATCCCAAATTATCCTTGAAATTAGCAGACGGGTTGTTATTCGGACTTGTCTCTTTCTTTGATTACCTTTTTTACTTTTATCTTATCTTTATTTAAAAAGTAACATCTTTAGTGTTAGAGTCCATCGAGTTTTTCATCTCGGATGAAAAACTGGACTTAAGTAGAATGACTAATGAAGTTTTGGTAACTCTCAAGAAGTAACAGTCTAGCCCAAATGTCCTTCAAATTTGTCAAATAGGTCGTCTTGATAGTTTCTATCTCAAATTTGAGTTTTTGTCATCTTTGGAAAACAAAATAGGCCGAACGAAAATAATTGTTCCTTGTCATTGAAAGCCTTAATATTATATATTGATCATGATAGCCCTTTGTTAGTTTTTTTAAAGCTGTACAATCAGTTTTTAAATGAGTGTGTTTACAATGCTAAAGAAAGAATAAACATATGTTTCATAGTTTAAAAATACATTTCATTTTTGTTTTAATACCTCATTTATTAATGAAATATTGAACAATTAGTTTGAGTACGCAAATTATAATAAAGCCTCGCTGTTCTTTATCTATTTCCCTCTTAAATTGCAAATAAATAATACTAGTACTGCTATTACTATGTGATTCTACGTATCTTTATATTACATACCTCTCACATACATCAATACAGATGTTTCTGATGGTACTGTCAGAGCTGGATTCTGCACTCTACAATTAAATATGGCGTCGATATCTGATTTAGTTGGTGTAAAATTGTATTTTACATAGTGAAAGGTTTTTGTACTTTTTTCCTCGGTTTCCTGAGAGGCATTTGCAATTTCCTTTCCGTTCTTCAACATTATTAGTTCTACAGGCTCTGATCCACCTTTCGCAAAACATTCTACTTTTACTGGTTTATCTACAGTAGCCAATATACATCCGTCCGATTTACAATAAAGCTCGGTCTTTACGTCGGAGAATTCTGGGTCAGTTGGTCGACTGTAATCTGAAATCAAATAGTAAATTTAGGCAATCCGACTAAAGATCAAATCGGATGTTTTACATATAACGCAGATTTTTTGAGGAGCTGATTGTTATTAGATTAAAATTAGGAAGATTACAAGAGAACAGACTTCATACTTGAAACAATACGCACATGTAACATAAAATCATAATGTTTTATGTAGTATTTTGTTGCTTAAATTTTCTAATAAAAGCAAATTCTACATAAATGCATAACTAACTCTGAAATTTAAAAAATGTATGTTGTCGAAATAGTCAGGTCTTATGCATACACACGTAAATATAAATGTATTATAGTTTAACGTATATGCTTTTTAAATAGTCCTTGTTTTTAATGGAATAGGATTTTTACTGTTGTTTTGTTGTTTTATTATAATATTGAACTTTGAACATCAAGATACACTACTTGACCGAAGTGTATTGCATAAGGATCATCAGAATATTTATTACTTAAAAAAAATAACTCATCTGTCAATTTTCATAGTAAACTTTATTGGACTTTTTAAACACACAATTTTGATAGACTAATTAAAATGTCTGATAAATTGCAATCAATGAAAACAATACGCTGAAACGGTTAAGGCTATGATAAGAAATTCTGGAGACATGGCACTTAGACTAAAAGGGCTGCCTAAACAGAGGTATATGTAGTTTCAACTACGATGTGATACACCAATCATAACAAAAGCAGAAAACGTTATTTTTTCTGCTAACAGGACATTCTAATATGTCAGTGACCATATTAACAACACCAATACTTGTTCCGACAATCGTTATTAAAACAGGTGTACGGTTGTCAAAGGAAATGTAATAATCATAATGCTCATTGATCACTAAAATGCATGTATTTTGCTTTATAACAATAGATTTCTAAAACATGATTCGAAATACTGGATGTATCCTTTAATACATGTAGATGGAGATGGTTTTTCATAATTAGAACTAAAACAATTAAAACAATAATTTATATCATCTATAATCCCTTAAGACATTTACCTAGCTTAAGAACAGTAATACCAGAGACTTTAAAACAAAGTTTTCTTTTGATTATATTTCGAATCACAATAAATATGTTTAACACCTTACATGTCTCTTTTAATTAATTTACAATCTACTGTAAACTACAGTTCATTGCACTTAATTTACCACCAAATAGCAGTATCTGAAAATAAATTCACCAAAAACTGGTTACAAGCTAATCACTCCGGCATTCTGAATCAGTGGAGAGACAAATAGCCTATAGATACAATGTTTGGGATCATTTGTCACGGAGACATTTTACCTCACTCGGGAGTAGAACCATTGCCCTCTGGGTAACAAGTCCGGTGCTACCCATACTAAGCTACGCATACGGACCACATTCAACACAAATATAATTGTATTTAGTACAAAAAGATTTTAATACAGAAGAATGGATACCTGCATATAGTCTAAAGAGTCAAAAATGAGTCATTACTTAAGTGATCTTTACCATTTATTTTATCAAAGTGTTATAGTATATATTTGTTACCAATATTCAGATACACAGAATTCGACACTGTGTCACCGCAATTTACTCTGTACTCGCCGTTATCGCTATACTGTGTCTTATAAATATTGAGTCTGTGGCCCCTATATCCTGGAATCACTGACTTTTTATACTTTTCACCTTTAAGTTGGTTAAAGGAAGTCGAATCTTTCTTTTCCCATATCATGGCTTTTTCGTCTCCAACATAAAAGTTAAATGTAACTGGATCTCCTTCTATGATGTTGCTGTTCAGAACAGAAAGTATGCCACATTTCTCTTTGCAACCTAGATAATAATAACCTTTTTTAAAGGGTATAAATCTATATCTTTTGAAATATTTCTTATCAAATTTATCAACAGTATATTTATCACAGTATATTGGTTCCATTATTGTATGGTTTATTCCCGAAAAGGTTGTAACATAGAATGTCTCTGTTATTTAATTCACAAGAATAATGTACGTAAACAGAATAAAATGTTCCGGAACAAAATATTATTTTGCTATTTTAAGTAGGATTTTATTCGTTCAGCAATACCTTTTTGCATGCGCCACTCGCTTTAAGGCAATTTGTTAACATTTTTATTTCGTATAAATATTTAAGAAGTATTCTTTTTTTAAAAAAATTCAAACAATAATTTTGGCCTCAGATAAATATACACTCTAGATCAATCTTGAAATATCTTTAAAAGTACTTGGCTAAACTAAATACTGTCTGCGCGTTTTTATCTGACACATTTTATTGTCTTTGTAGCATTTCTATTGACAGTTTGATCGTGGAAAAGCTACCAATCTGACAGCATAAGATGCAATATGGTTGACAGTCACATGTTTGAGATGTAAACACTTTAACCGTTTTTGTTATGCTCCGTTTAATTTATCATAAATATGTATTTTGTAGGTTGTAAAGACACATATGTATATCAACGATGTTTACGATGTAAAAACAATTTTGTTAATTAACACATACCAGATCCAGTAGGGTGTGCAGTTACTTTAAGAGATGAACGCAATGTAAATCGTTGTTCTGTACATTTAATTATATATGCCGCAACGTCTGTTGAATTTACTGCTAATATAGATAATATGACATTGCCATCTTTTTCTGATTCAATGTATTTGCTGTTGGTGTGTATTGCTGTGTGGTCATAAATCACTTCCGCTTTACCGTCCTGTTCTTTCAACCATATGCGCACTGCATATTGAGCGTTTGGTTTGTATATTAAGCGTGCGGTCTTGCATTTTGTAACATTTTCCTTTTCAAATTTCAAAGTCCCACAGGTGCTTGGCTCTGAATCTGAATGAAATGTGCATGAATAACTTTACAAAATAAAGTATTTATACAAAAAAATGAACATTTCAGACAACTGTTATGAATACAAAACTCATCGGAAACGGTCAACCTTATTGAAAATAAAAGGTTAAATGGAATGAATCTTAACTCGTTGCAAAAATCATAAAAAAGATATCATGACTATATTCAATGGATTTCAATTTATCATATATTTACACATTAAATGTAACTATTTAGGAAAGGATATTTTTTGATATTTTAGAAATTTGTATTAACATTTTGTTTTGTTTGGTAAACAGGTACTTGACATATGAATAATGATGTTTATATAATAAAAAATGAATTCATGAGATTAGATCGAGCTCTGAATCAAAAGGAGAAAACAAAACAAAACAAACAAAACAAACAAAAAACTTTTAAAGCTACTCTCTCACACAAAACAGGTCTGAAAATCATCAACATTTTTGTTTACATTAAATATTCTTAGAAATCAAATTTTCAGTTTCCATGAGATCACTGTAACCTAACAGTTGATATGTTTCACTTGGCACAGATATAAGAACCCCTTTAATCACACTTTACAAATACAGTAGGATAAACAATGCAAACACCTTTACTTAGATTCCGTTTCAGCGGACAAGACATGTATTAATGATCTAGTTAAATATAAATATACGAGCCTCTGGTAAAATTCTATCTTTTGTAGACGTATTATCTAAAAACTTGCTCAAACTACAATGTGTGGGATAGTATTTCTAGATACACTGGCAAGTTAAACAATTTTAATTTTATCTACGTTTACTTAACCATATAAAATCAATTTACATAAGCGAGTGTAGATGTGTTGCAAAGGTTTATCGATTAAAATGTTTCGTATTTTATGACTTAATCAGACGCAAAACAAAATACATGTATTTATAAAGATAAAAGTCCTTTGAACGGAACAACTGTATCATACCGTTGAAAAAAAATGAGACAAATTATCATTCTGACATGCTGATAAAAAGAGAATAGGTACAATGATATTATTATGATTACACACTTTGAGAGGAGAAATTAATTTTCACGACATCATTTTGTTCATTGACGTCACGTCTTACTTCATTATAGAGTATAAACATTCCTTTCCTTATTATTGTTTAAAAGAAGCACACAATTGATCAGTCTGATTCTTAGAAAAAGAAGGGTGTTTGAACATATAAATTAGCACAGTGATTTAATTTTTTAGCCACAATTTACATGGATTAAATTCATATTGTTAAAAGACAAATAAAACGAACACTTTCAAATCGAGGACATAATTATTAAAAGAAAACACGTTCTTATTCTCCATAAATAAATCAGTTTGTGTTATTTTTTAATCACCCACAATTTTCTTACAAAATTGTAATAACACCCTTTCAAATGATAAGTCATTAACAAAAACGTCGCTGCAGTAATTCAAAATTTGATACACGATCTAATCCAATAATGCTTATTCAAGATTCAATTGTAAATATGTCAATTTGTACATATATGAACTTCAAACAAAAATGGTACACCAAATAAATGAAAACATCATAATCATTAAAAGACAAAGAACAAATGAAACAAGAAAATCTCATCTTTTCTCAGTGCTGCATAGTTATATAAAAGCAACATTATTACGAAATTATATAAAGTTACTGATCAAATACAAATGAGTATAGCACAATTAATAATAAGTGTTGTAAATAAAGCAAAATGAGTAGATTTGTAATCAAAATGAGTAGGTAGTTTATCCTCTGCATCTGTTTGGCAGCAGTCATAGTACTAACAGTGTTCCGCCCGTCAGTCCTTCTGCCAAGCAATTTGTTCGGAGAATATCTTTAACGCTTATTTTTGTCCGGATCATATCTTTAAAAGTGTTTGATTTGGTAAACCTTAATATGATAGATATATCTCATTGAGTAGGAATGCAGTGCATAGATATGATTACTCTACCGATCCTAATTTTTTTAATTATTGCCCTTCGTTATTTCGCTGGCTTTATTTTTATTAGAGCTCAGTTCGAAAAGAAAAAAAATGTAACAATTTGATACTTCAAAGATAGATATATCCGACTCTCTTTGTTTAAGTTATTGCCCTTTGTTGTTTTGCTTAATTTTGTCCGGGACATGTCTCGAATAAAGACTGTGACTGCTTATTGTTTCTTATGATATTCACCTACTTGTTTCGAGTGTCTTTTTAATAGAATTTCTTTATTATCATGGTAATAAAACCAGCATAAATATGTAAGCGGTGAAGGTGTAGGTAATCATAATATAGTTTCTTCCTTAGTTTTACAAAGATTGAATGATTAATTTCCAAATCTGGAACTCAAGATTATTAAAGAACTTTGTTTTTCAGAAGCATTTAATCCTTAAGTTACCAACCATATCTTAACTGTTTTATTGTTAATTAATTTGTTCAGTCGCTAGCGCGTTTGAGAGTTCCCTCCCATAGAATAGAAATATACGCTGGTAGGGATATCCTAAGATGATAGAAACTACAAAATATGCAATCCTATTGAAGATGAAGACCATTTTGTTATAGAATGATCATTGTATACAGAATTACGAATCACATCCATACACAAGCTGTATGGGAACAACATATGCATATACATGCACAGTGCGTTAACTGAAGTGCAGGTATAAGTTAGTCGCACTCAAAAGCATGCCCATTGATTGGCTTATTGTTTTTCTGGGTTTACTTAATTGACGACGGAGAAAGAGATAGCGATAGAAATAATATATTGAGATGCTAGTTCATTGGTTACATTTATCTGTGATTTCATATTGTGACAAGACTCGTACAACTCAGATAGCCTCGTGTTTCGATATTCTTTCTATTGCTTATTTCTAGGTGGAAAGAAATATGGCATATGAATAAATGTAAAACTAAATTGTGTGTAAGCATATTTATATCTTTGTATACAGTGAGCTTTTTTTGTTGAAATATTTCTACTTTTAATTAGATATGCATGAAAAAAGGAGGTATTACTAGTAAGTAATTTTGAACATGACTGTAAATTTGCCATAGTCTTACAGTTTCGTTTACGAATGGGCCGCTTTATTTTTGAAATTATCATTACAAATCAATTGAACATTCATCAATTATAATCTATAATTCGTGTTTTAAATGTTGCAAGAAATGTGAATATGTTTTTATCTTCCTCAATTACGTTCTTAAGAAAATAAAACAATTATTTGCTTTACTTTAAAAGGAAAAACAAAAACTATATCGGGTAAGAAGGCGGTTGGCCTTTTGATATTCTTTTACAGTTGTCAAGCATTTTCTCATAACAATACATGAGTAATAAAATATTTTATCATGTCATGAAGACAAAAAAACACTCAAAAGACAAATTTTCAATCAACATAATGATAAAAATACTTGAGATATATTACAGTTTTGTTTCTACATTGAAACAATAATCTCACTTTTTTAAACCTTGAATTTACTAAACCAAAGTAATGCTTGTATTTATAATATGTCTATGTGCGTGATAAAAATACGTTATTTCAAATAGGTTTCAAATTTTCAAGATATATTAAATAAATGTTTTGGTTTTCATTTATATCAAATTGTACGATACATTTTATATGTAAGTTAAACAAAACATTAATGTATTTATACTCGAAGAGTTTGTCGTCACGACATTCACCAATATTTTCTTGTTATGTTAAGTAATCCGAATGTATTTTTTGTATGCCGACATGTGCACTGTTCTATGTCTTGCATTATGCTATTATCATGGGTTTATATGCCTTATATGATTGAAATATAACTAAGCCAATATTTTGTCTCACACATTAACTGTTTAACCGATCTAAATCAATGTGTTTCGATCTACAATGATCATATGACTGAGCAAATAAATGGGGGTTTAACGAATGGATGTCTGAAAAAAATATAGTATACGTCATTTTATCAAGTGAGCCATTTAAGTTGATCGGAAATGGATCGGCTTATTAAGGATGTAAGGTTACTGGTATATCTTAAGGATAAAGGTATAATACTTGATAATGTACGTTCGTAACGTCGTTTTTCAAAATTGTGTGATTTCTTAGAGTATTGACGGCAGCCGTTTATACAAAACTATCTACAAACGTCATGATTTCCCAATGAAAAGAGACGTTAAAACGTGCAGTATTATACAGTTTTTAATATATAAACGACTGCGGTCAATTTGTGAAGAAATTATATTTTTCCACTATAACATAAGTTTGCTGTATTATTAAATTAAATTCGTTTTAAAGATTTTGACAGGTTATATGACCGTTTATAAAATGTTGTTTGCAATATAACCCTCGCCTAGTGGCTCATATTATATATACAAACACAATTTTTATAACTAATTGTATTAATGTTAAATAGACATGATTTTAAGAAGTTTGCCAAGGAAGTTTTTAAGCCGCTAACTATATACAAATAATTGTTTAGCCCCCTTTACAAGTCTAGAAAATGTCATATAATCTAAAACTTGACTTGTGAAGTGAAGAATTAATTAAAATAAATAATATGATTAAACAATATTATATATTGACTTATTAATTGTTCAGTATCCAAACTTGCAAGATTTAAACTTACCCGAAACTACAATACATCTATTCAACAGTGGTAATTGTACTCTTTTCAAAATCTTTTATGTGAGATGACTGTTTTAGATATATTCATACACACACTATTAAATCAGCTTAAAGTTACAAACATACGGGCTTAATTCCTATTAAAATGTGGTAAATTACAAATGCAAATCCTGGCAGAAGATAGTTTTCATTATGATTTTATACAAAGTCCTGTCACATTATTGAAATAACAAATAAGTCAGAAACAATTATCCACATATAGCTTAACTTGACTAGTAGAAATATTGTCTGTTGATTAACACTGTGATCCTTTTATTGAATTATTAGTTTTCCTGATTACTGAGTTGTGCGTTGTCTGTTAAAAAATACATCTTGTAAATCTTGGAATATATAACGGCAAATATTTGGCTTACATTTTTCCTTATTAATGTATGAATATGATGTTTTCATTTTTGTGTGTGTTCCCTACCTTTTCATATAATTTGTCTCATTTGTTCTTTCACTCATTTGAAAATATTTCGACCCTGATCATGTGACTGAGCACATAAATGAGGTTACACAAATTGATGTCTTGAATCAATAAAGGATACGTCATTTTATCAAGTGATCCACCTTAATCGATCTGAAATGGATCGGCTGATAAAGGAGTTAGTGGTATATTGCAATGTTTAAATTATAGCAAATGAGTATAAATGACCGATACACATTATTTGCAGAGGTTTGTCTTGGAGATACACATAATTTGAAGAGGTTTGTCGTGGTCGTTTTTAAGCAGCTTACCATGTGAAAATAATTGTTAAGCCCCCCCCCCCCCACCCCACTTGTAAAAGAAAATATCTTAAAATCTAAACTCAAAATTACAGTTTGAAGAGAAAATTTAGTTAAAATAAATGTAAGAAAAATTAAAATAATTGGATAGTGTCATATTGAATTCATTTTTACTTTAAATATTAAAAATTGCGAGACTCTAGATTGCCCGAATCTATAATGCATCTCTTAAACGGGGATAAATGTGTAGATTTACACATTTATATATATCTTTTATGTGAGATGAACCAATTTTGATATATACATGCACAATTTTCAATAAACTTAAAATTACTTACATACATGTTTAATCCCTATCAAAATATAGAAAATAACAAATGAGAGTCCCGGCAGAAAATATTTCATTGTTATTTGATAACACTTCTTGTCACATTATCGAAAACAACAAATTAGTCAATGAAACATTTCTACATCTATTGAAAATGCTTCTGCCTAATTTGAATCGTGCAAATGTTGACTGTTGCTCATTTATCCTTGTTTGTGTATTAAGATGCGCGTTCTTAAGAGTTTTCTTGTTTTTTCTTTAAATGCATCTTGAAAACCTCTAAAGCTCGTAAAATTTACAACGGAAATTAATTTTAAAAAATACAACAAGTATTCAAAAGTGGCTTATATTATTTTTCCTTGTTCTTGAAACACCTGTGACATTTCAAACACTAAATAACACTTATTAAGTTGTTTAAACAAAATTATTGCTTTACATCATGTATGGTACTTTAGACAAACAATTATGTGATTTTTTTTAATTGGCGTATATTTATTTAATTATTACATGGCGGCAAATAAAATTTTCGAATAGCTTTAAAATTGTACCGTATATATCATAAAAGCCGAAGCAAAAACATTGTTGTGCGATGATGATACACTTCATGGGATCGTAGAATGTCATGCATTGTATAGAAAGATTATTTTATATTATCTATTGATAAACTGCAAGTCATTACAATTACCTTTAATTCGTTACACAAGTTGTTGATGGTCAATATACATGTAGTAAGAGAATATAGTATAACTGAGATAAATATTACAGTTGGCTTGCGCCCCGGTACATATTCATCTCCGTCAGGCCATATTATCCCGTATAATCCCACTAGAAACATACATGTATCATTTATTTTCAAGCCGTGAAAATAAAATAATTTTATATTTCAGTCACTACTTAGTTCACTACTATAAAATTACACTGGAGCTGGTTGTTTTCATTTTTCTTACATGTGGAGGGGAGCTGAAAATTGTTATCGGTTATCTCAAATGTCTGATCGGATAGGAAGTTGCTGTTATCGAATTTTTTAAACGTCTGATTACACGCGAGTTTGCTGTTCTATGTTATTCAAAACGTCTAAGCAAACTATCGGTTATGTCTGATCGGATAGGAGCTAGCTGTTCACAAATGTCATACAGGTCTTACAGATGAGAGCAGATTTGGAGATGTCACACGCCTGATCAGATGTAATTGAATATGTCACTTGTTATAAGGCGAAAGCTTGTCTGATCTGTTATTTGCACAGATGTTCAGACCTTGCTTGTGTTGGTCTTTTCAGACTATTAACACTTCTGTACTGACAACAAATGAGCTTTCCAGACACTGTTTAAAACTATTATAATTTGTCTTTTGATTCTTAGTATGCTAACTTTAATCTCTGTGATTACTGCATTGAATTTGTAAAGTTATCAAAAGTCATTGTGCTTATTTTATTTGTGTCCAGTTACAAACTCAAAATCATTATTATCTTGATATTGATAAAATAAAAATGATTACACACAAGTGATTGTTATCGATTACTCAAAAACGGCATACTCAAAGTGAACAAATAAAAATGAGGTACAGTGCCTTTTGTTGTGTATACATTCTAATCTTACCGAATGGATTTATGACGACGTTGTTTGAGTTCAGCATCTGTTTCAACTAGCCCTATGAATTCATTTGGCTTAAGTTACAATTTTAATTGACCAAGTGTATTCTTATATGTCTAACCCGAGTACATTATTGAATAGAAAAAGTCACAAAAAAGAGGTATCTGATATGGGATGATTGTCATTTGCTATGAACGCTGAATATGATCATGTCTAGACTAATTGCGTCCCTTAAAAAGGGTACTAAAAATCATAATTATCCAGTTACGACAAGCTTAACAGAATCAAATCGTTAAATGATCAGAAAAGAAGTTTTTTAGATATTGATACATATTGATCAAACTATGTAAACCATTACAGATGCAAGAATATGAATGCATTGTCCATCACTACTAATGATCAAACTGTATATTTCCTGCAAACAGAAAATCGGTGCACAAATATTACAAATATAATTTTACTTACAATTTGTGAAAGTTATTTTTAAATACAACATAATTGTCAGGGAAAAAAGAATAGTTTTTATAAAACATGTTATGTCTCAAAATATCATTATTACTATTATTATCAAATATGAAATATTTAGAGGGTGAAAGGTGAAGCAACAATACATTTTATTGTAAACACAAACAACATGAATTTGAAATCTACAAACACCTATTTTTGTACACATAATAATTAAATGTAACAACTGGCTTAACTTAACTCACTGTTAGATTGTGTGTAAATGCTAATATGCCTGCGATATAATGTGAGGAAATGCGCACGGCATTACGGGACAAAACATTATTAATAGCATATTAATTTGGGTAAAATAATACGGATGAAATTACTTTTGGTCGAGCGGTTACAGCGAGCCATTTCTGGGTCAATAGGAACTTGAAAACCGAGACACCGACATAAAATACAATTTGGAAATAATTTATTATTTTGTTTGCTACCAAACGAAAGATGTTAAAATATAGGTTATATTCTTCATAGGTGTTTTACATGTATGATCAAATTAAATATCTCTCATGCTTATTGTTATATCAACTAAATGTAAAAAATATTCACTATATGCTTGCATTTATGAGTTAGTATATGAATTGGTCTACAATGGACACATTTTTCATAAGCTTTTCTAATATATACGAGGTATGTTCAAAAAGTTCGTGGATTTTTGCTGTCATTTTTTACTTCGTTCTTCAAAACACCCTTAGTGGAAATGAATCGAAAGAGTGTCTTTATTTTCAAAAGTAAGATTTACTTTTATTGTTAACTTTTATTTCCTTTACGAGTTTTGTGCACTTTAATAACCATGGCAACGCAACATCGGCGCACGCCGAAATTTTCATATAGTGTTTAAATATAAACAAATGTTGAAACAAATTAAATGATTGTTTTATGAAGTTAAACACAAGTAATCATCTATTAATATTTAAATGACATAAATCTGACTTTTGGCGTCGTTTGGACGTTGAATAGCTGAACAAACAAGTTTTGAGCAGCAGTAGACAGACGGGTAAGTTGGGAAGTATAAACCCCGTTTAAAAACTAGAAATTCGCTCTTTCGGAATTTTTTACCAATAAATGTGGTATACTCCTTTATATTTTTATATAAGGTGATTCAATTAACGAAAAACAATGAGTTGTCGAGCAAGTCTCTTGGTTTCAGGTCGCGCAAGCGATTCAAATACGGCAAATACATGCTCACAGACAGAAAGGGCGACGGATAATTTTTAGCGGCAAATTGTTGGGACGTTTGTAACGTCAATTGCAAAAGATCCACAGAAGTTCAGGCATTTTGACAGTTTTGCGAGATGTCCGTCATGTTTAATTTCTGCATCGGGTCTATGCATTCAATTCTGACAAAACAATTTAATTTAATTAAAATAATATTTTATTTCATTCATCAGGATATATGCGTATTTACAATAAATACTTGTAGTTATTATTTGTATTTCCTGTATTTACCATGGTCCGTTTGATAATTAATGCTAGCCGGTGTTCAGTAGATTTACCGCATAGAATAATTGTCAGTTGATAAAATATTTTCTTTATCATCGATAATCATATTGTTTAAAGATCGGACGAGGGCGGTTTCAAATTGATACTATCAATCAACAATTGAATTAACTTAATAACACTGTCCGTTTAGTGTCTAAATTACTCAAAAATCCCGATAAAGAGCGGAAAGTATGCGGCACTCGGACCTTTATATGGAGAATGGAGCGAATAGATGACCACTTTATATCTCGGGTCATCATCGCAAACAGAAAAATGGTTTTGGTATATGATCCATAGATATTGAACACTAAAAAGAGTAATTTCAGAAACAGTGACGCTGGTAAAATGTTTCATTTATATTGCGACGTCACGAACGTCATTTTGTTTCATCATCAGCGTGCGCCGGATTGTGCACCCCTTGTGATTTGTAACTGTCACAGAATTTTTATTTGTAAACATATTGTATTGATTTTTTCACTGTTTATTAAGGACATATTTTCATATATGTTTCTTGTAAAATCATATACGCAAATTAAAAGATGTGAACAGTAGAGCCGCAGTCCACGAACTTTTTGAACAGCCCTCGTACATAGCCATGTGGATGTTTTTAATAATAATTCTTTTGATACTGTAAAGTTCTTGGTGATTTAGTATGAACGTTTATGTGATGAAAAATAATATTCCGTATTAGCTGCTGTATATAGAAGTGTAATATCGGACAATGAATATAACTATCCTGGTTTGTTGCCATATTTTACAATTTATACAGTCAACATAATCATAAATTGTATAAAAAAAACCTTCAATTATGACCCGATTTCACTTACAAATATGTGAAATGAAACCCCTGTTGTCCTGAACAGACGGACGTCCGATTTAATAGTCATAATGCTGACTATATAAACTACACAAATATTTACACAAACCTAGTATGAGACGCTGAAATATTGAACGATGTCACTAATCACAATATAAATTATATCACTTACATGAACACATTTAAAAATGTAATACAATTTTTAAGAACCACGCATTACAAGCATACATCATATTATGAATGTTAAAGAAATATTTAAAAAATAACGCAATGAGAAACAATTAAAAAACGAGTAAACATAAGCAACTATTTTACATAGTAAAAAAAAAAGATACAAGCAATTTAAAGATAAAAAAGTACATAAAAGGTATAAGACATTAAAGATATATAATGCTCAAATTTGTTAATAAAAAAAGAGATAAATACAGTCTCTTTGAAATGTAAAATAAACACTTTCGAAAACACACAGACAAAATATGTTATGTTTTAAACTCTAGACAGCACAGGTAATCACAGAATGATTGCATAGTGTCATTAAAAACCTGGTAGTTTTTTTTAAGAATAGACCAAAAACTTTGACAATTAACTTCCTAAACATAGTTTTGACATTCACTTTTTTAAATTAGATATGTACTCATGAAGAATTATCCGGATTTCAATAAATTTTTGTTATAAAAGTAATTGACCCAAAGATGAGCATAGTATATCATTAAGTATTCAAAACTCTTACGTATTTTGCATGTGAAAAAAATCGTAAGGATCAAAACAGGAAGCTTAAAACTTACTATCATTTAAAGATTCGGAAAACGGGTTTGATACAATAGTTATTTTAGATGT